TGAAGTGATTTGTTCAAAGTCACACAGCCAGGAAACAGAGAAACTTACTTCGATTTGAACTCAAGTATGTGTTATTCCAAAGCTTTTCCCACTCTACCACACTGTAAGGGAATACAGTAATACCTTGGTTTGCGAGCATAATTCGTTCTGGAAACAAACTACTCATATTGCAAGACATCGTTCATTTACCATGTTAAAATGTATTAGAAATGTTTGCTCGTCTTGCAGAACAACAAGGTTTTACTGTGTACCCAGATGAAAATAGCTGATGTATTAGGATGATGGTGAATATAGAGAATTGTTTTTTCTTTTTGCAAAATTCTCTGTGATGTTTTGGTTACTCCTCCTCACTAAATTAAAGAAAGTTTTTAAATAGGAAGTAATTTGAAGGATTAAATACCTGAAGCCACCCTTCAACCCAGTATCTGATGTCTCAAATCCTATAATAGAGAAAGTGAGACTCTAACTTTTGAAATATCATGAAGCTTATCTTTGGATCATCTCCAGAAGATATATGCTATTAATAATTCTGATGAGCACGGAAGTGCTTTGGGTGGGCTGGGGTGGGGTGGAGGGGGTGATAGGTGGCTTGCTGCCTGTGAGTCATAGTCACTAGCAGATCAGACACGTTGTCATTTATCAGGCCCGCCAGAGATAACAAGTCCCAACCCCTGCCATCACCTTTCTTATTACAGAAGAAAAATGAAAACCAACTCCAAATCACCTGATCCTTTAGATATATTTATCTTGCTGTCAGCCACAAGTAATATCTATCCCAATGTTTCGAGCTAATTAGAGCTTGTCCTAAGAATACACGGAGCCCGCACTGTGAATATTGCAAATGGGGGAGTAGGTATTAATCTGCTACTCACACTGGGCTGAGTCAGGATGACAACAGGTGGAGAAGGAGGGGCCCAGTGGGTGCTGACAGAGGCCTTCAGTTTGGCCCAAAGAGATGCCCACTGCTCTTCCTGAGAGTCCAAGTGTTCCTTCTCATTGCCCCATGAGATCGTACTTGTGAGTCTGGAGTGGACACTGTTGTCCTATGGCTGCCTG